CTAAAAAGCCACTTACAAACTCCAATGGAGATCCTGAAAATAAAAAAGAAATACTGTATTACTAACATTGAAAACCTAAAAAGAAATTCAAAACAAATACATTTTTTAGAAATGATACTTACTTGAATTTTCTTTTCCTTGTTGATTTCCAGAGTATCAGAAAAGATTCTCGTCATGATAATCTTGACGTTTAAATACAAGTGAAAAATATTTTATTTCTGCCAGAAGATGTAAACCAAATGCTGAAAATAAATGTTCAACATCAGGTAACCTCGTTTTAGGCGTTCTTCTGGGATTCTGTTTTTCTCTTCTTTTTTTTACTAAAATTTAAGGATCAAGATCAGGATTAAAATTTAAAACCTCAAATTTCCTCCATTGCTTATCCTCAAAGATGAAATATTTAATGATGAATTGATAACATCGAGGGGTTAGAGTCAGTTACGTCTAATTCAGATACCTCTCTGACGTGGGTTCGATCCCCGGGAGATGCTTTGGTAGTTTAGCACGGATGAAGGTAGTCTAGTACTGGTGTAACTCTCCAGGAACGATGGTTAGGCAAGATCGAAAAGGAAAGGCGGCGCTAAGTAAACGCCCCCTCCCCCCTGGTCGTATTTCTTTGCTTTAACGGCACACCAACACATTTTAAGTAATTGGCGCCGTAACAGGGAATATGATTCTGGCTAATCTCGAGTGTTACACGCTTTAAGCAACACAAGGTGTCAAAACCACCTCTTATATTTCAGCTACTCTATTCTGAGCTACATTCAAAGAAACCTTAGTTCTCTGCTTATTTCAGCTTAGGTAAGGTACTATAGTCTTCGTTACTGCCATCACCGGTTTTGCAATATTGTGGGATTATTTGTAGGCGACTTGCGAAGAAATTGGTACGAGTAAGTTATCAAGGAAACCAGTAAATGAGATATTGTTAACCCCTGCTATTATGTTTTTCAACTGCTTTTCAAACAAACTGTTAGATATAAATTTGCAACACGGTGTAAGGTAAAGGGAAATGTATAATAATTTCTTTTCGGATATAAAGTTGTATCTTGCAAAATGTTCGGATATAAATGTGTATCTTGCAAGATATTCGGAACTGCTTCGGCTATTATCTATAATAACCTCGGAAACAGTACGGATTGAAAGTAGTTTCAGATGTAAACAGAAACTGAGATAATGTAAAACGAATGTATATATTTGACATCTAATGTCTGTTCCGGTACTCTTATGCTTGAATATATGTCCGACAACAATTTGTAAATTAAATATGCCCACTGATGTTCAATTAAAACAAATCCGACTATATGCCAACAGGTTGTTTTTTTTGTACTTTTCGGTTTCTACCGCCATAATAATAAAAAAATAAGTAATGTATTGTTTTTTCTTTTTAACCTATGAATTCACTTATTTTTAGGTGGACTTTAACTACATATATTAGGAATAAACATGTCAACACCTCCAGCATTAAATTACCATTTGTTTACATGTTTAGTTTCTCTTAGCGTAGGTTAGGACCGAAATACCGCATCCGTTCTGTGTATTCATACTATTGTGTTCGAGGTCCTTATCCGAAGACTGCATGGAAAGGGCCGAGTAGTTGCGATTGTCTTGCAAGATAATTTCATAAAATTACCAAATTAAAAAAAAATTGTTATAACATTCCTATTTTCCATTTTCTTATGGCGATTATCGAAAAGAATTGTAACAAAAAATGTCTCTGTTATTTAACAGATGAAACTTGCATACGTAAAAAATCAGAAAGTGTTCCGGAACAAACCCATTATGTTTCTATTTTAAAAAGGGTTTTTTCATCAATTTAACAATGATATTTCATACATCCACCATTTACTATTTGTATCTTTATACACAATGTTTTGATTGGAAAATCAGTCTCTCATAAATGGGTTTGATTTTTATTTTACATTTCTTTCTTATATCCTTTGGGTTTTTTGGTTCAAAACCAAGTGACGAGGAAAAAAAACATTTAAATTCTCACAGGGCCTTATACACAATTGTTCCTCGGAAATCTATTGTAAGATATAATCTTATAGTAAACGATTTACTGGAACAATCCTAGAAACCTTATTACAGTAACTTTTGTTTTGTTTGCTTTTGATTTGGTTTACGTCACACCGACACAGTATATATGCCATTTGGTGACGTTCCAGCTTTACTGGTGGAGGAAGACCTCAGAAAATAGATAAACACATAATCCCTAAAAAAGCCCCAACACGGCAAAATTGAAAATGTTGCAGGCTCGGTTTGATTGAGCCTGTTCATGGACGGTACTGGAAAGTGCAAGTTACCGTCCACGCCCCCTAGCACCGGCTTAAGCAGAATTCAACATTTAAACGTGAAATAGTAAAATTTTGAATTTAGAAACATCCGCAGATGTGTTCATACGGCGGTTATCATGGAACCTTCAATGTGACATTTCCGTGCCATTCCATGAAAAGCGGCGTATGGTCCCCAAGTAATAAGCCTTTCTGTGCATAATTTCAGGCACGAACGCACCTGAGTAAGGCCGTTATTCCATTTGTACGTGGTCCGTTCTCCGTGTCCGTGATACGCTTCCGGGCATGTACGTGAACATTATTCCATATGTACGTAAATGGATCCGTTAGAGGCTCCGTATATACACGTGGTTTTATCTTTCATAACTGAATGGTGGCGATGTCGCTTTCAAAGCATGTGGAATCAAATTTCTGGATCGCAATCCAGGCTGGTCTAATTTCATTGAGACAAAGAAAAAAAGTAAAAAGAATGCATAGGTGGTGGGTGCGCCCAATTTATGAACAAAGGAATAAACATGGCGTCTACTACCATCTGATCAAAGAGCTTGAATTATCAGAAGAAGAATTCAAGATGTACTTCCGTCTTAACAAGAATCAGTTTGGATATGTACTCTCTCACATGGAGGAGTTCCTGGCGAGGCAATGCAGAACTAGGGAGCCAATTTGTGCCAAACAACGTCTGGCAATCTGTTTGAGGTAATAATGTGATCGTATTGATAATGTATTAATCGCAATATTATTCTATTACATGTAGTGTACATAGTGTACATATATAACTGAACTTTTCTAATTTCTAATGTAAAGATCATCTGGAAAGTATATTGATCTTTAATCTGTTGGACTTGAATCGCAGTTTTGTAGATGTAAAACATTTGAATAATCTGAACAAAAAATACACATACAAAAAGTAAACGATTTATTTGCAAAGAACATTCGTCAGCCAATGTTATGTAAACAAAATCAATTGCAAATCAATAACCATAATCTCATAGTAATTTCAATAGACATTGATTTCCATATATTGTTGTACTTCCATAAATATAATCAAGAAAAGGTAACTAACTACCAGTTAAGTTATTAATTTAAAAATATTTTCAACAAAATATAAACAAAAGTACAAAGCAAATAAAGAGTTTGTAGTGTTTACACCCCGGTGCAGAAGAAAGTCAGTAAAACCATGAATTAGTTAACATGTTTGTAATGCATGGGAATTAAGACATGTATTGGAATTAAGACACTGATTACGAAAATGCAAAAACACATCTAAGTGTGAGAGTTCTTTGATTTAAAGTTCTTTCGAATTACTGCAGTGACTGCATTGCCTCACTTAAGATATCAAGCCCTGTGGTATGCGTTATTTGAGAACTATTCTCATTACCAGCAGAAAAGTCGTTTTTGTTGTAGGCAATGCCACTCAACCCAGACCCCTGTTGGTTAGTGTATTCCGGTATTGGCAGCTGGTTTAAATTATAAGCCTGTTGATGGGGGTAGGAATGATGAGTCTGACAGGGATATGGCATAAATGGTGGTAAACTGTCGCTGGTTTCAGATGTATACAACAACATTGATACTTGCATTTGCAGCCATAACTGTTTATTCTTAGGAAGCTGTTTTGTTCTCAATGCACAGCTTTCATAAAAAGCGTCGACAGCATCTCTCTTAGGTTGCTCGTATTCTAAAGTGTTAAGTCGTGACGCCTGAGCCTTTGCAATTTCAAGAAACGACGTCTCAAATTCGGTCATAGAATCTGTGCATTTCTTTGTCTTCTTTGGCCTCCGTGACTCAGTGGGGTTCTTGAATGTACTTTCCTCAACATACACTGAGTTTGGTGGTGTTTCTCTTGGACTCGGACTAGGTGACTGGATGACAGAGCTCTGGTCTGTTACGTCATTTCTGAAAGAAAAAAAACATGAATAGTAAAATCTAAGCAGAACGCCTCAAGATGAACAAAATCATTTCATGTAAATCAAACTTTGGGAAAATGTTCCAAGAGATTAAGAAAAGTAAAATCATTCCCAATGCTAGTAATATTTAACATATAATATGCAATTAATGACTGAATTTACAAAATTTATCTCCTTATTATTAAAGCATTACTCACACAGTAAGGAATAATTTGCATACTGCGACCTGTTACTGTAAATTTACGTAGTTTTTAAGTATTATTTTCGATAAAACACTTACATCCTTTGTTCGATTGACAATATTTTACCTTTAAATACCTTTCTTAATGTTCATGAAATCAGCCGCTTTAAAGGGACTCCACTGAGGATTTTTTGACATGATGGGACTGAAAATATTTTTTCCAGACAATGTACCATTTGATGTAGGTTTAGACCACTAATCTTTGTGCAAAATTTCAGATTATTCGCGCACTAATAAAAGCATATAAATAGGATTTTCAATTTATTTCAAAGTATATTTCTTAACCATTTTTGCATATATTTCTGTTTAAAATGCCCCAGCTCATTTATGTAAAAAAATCAAATGTTATGCTTTTAGGCTTTTACACCTCGGTGGAGTCCCTTTAAGATTACGCTCAAAATCAATACTGTTTTCAATTTGTACTTGATTTTGAAAGTCAGTGTTGTTCGTGAAAATTTAAGTTATATTTTTAAGAACAGCAAAGAGTCACAAGACCAAACTGTGTGCATTTACTTCTAAACAAATTACTTCCATGAAACAATTTGCCAGCACATGTTATAAAAAAGTGTAGATTGATTTATAATAAAATGTAAATTGATTGATTATTAAATGCGAGATGAAGTATAGTACATTCAAATACAGATCAAATCTGTTGGACTTGAATCGCAGTTTTGTAGATGTAAAATGATGTTTTCATATTTAGATGATAATTAATTTTGATTAAATTTTACATCTTAAAATTAGACATGCTTTTTGTCTGTTTCAGATTTTTGGCAACCGGGGAGTCGTTTTCATCTCTTGCTTTTTCCTACCGAATAAGCGAGCCAACAATTTCGAGATGCATACCGGAGGTTTGCCAAATTATTTGGGACATGTTTGCTCCTATGTACCTCAGAATGCCTCAGAATATAGGGGATTGGCTCCTACTTGCAGAGGACTTTAAGGAATTATGGAATTTTCCCCATTGTATAGGCGCCATTGACGGAAAGCACATTGTAGTTCGAGCTCCAAGAAATACAGGATCATTACATTTTAATTATAAAGGAACATTTTCAATTGTGTTGATGGCGCTTGTTGATGCAAATTTGCAATTCACCATGATTGACATAGGATCATATGGGCGAAATAGTGACGGTGGTGTTTTTGCACATTCAAAGTTTGGGACAGCCCTGAGGTCCAATCAGCTACATTTTCCGCTTGCTAGTGTTATGCCTGGAGCTGAGGAACTTGGTCCGATGCCGTATGTCATTTTAGGTGACGAGGCGTTTCCATTACAGGAACACATCATGCGCCCCTATCCTGGTAGAGGACATAATTTTGCTGAACAAATATTCAACTATAGATTATCAAGAGCCCGTAGAATCGTGGAAAGTGCTTTTGGCATATTAGCGGCTCGATGGCGGGTATTCTACACAAAGATTGGTGTCAGCGTGTCGACCACAAAGGCTATTGTTAAAGCAGCAATAGTTCTCCACAACTTATTGCAAAGGGAGACAACAGTAGCACAGACAGCCACTCTCTTAGAGGATAACCAAGCCAACACAACAGATGGCTTCTGTCCTTTAGTCGGTGTGGGGAATAGAGGATCGGAACACGCCATTGCGATCAGGGAGAAGTTTAAGGAATATTTCACTAAGTTTGACACGCTACCTTGGCAAGATGCACATGTAAGACGGGGCTGCTTTGCTGGTTCACAGTAATATGTGTTGATAAACTTACCTTGACTCTTGGCCTTGATCATCCATATTGGAAGGACAAACCCCCTCCTCCACTTGTTCAAGGAAATCCATGTTACTGTCTGTACTATAAATATGACACATACATGACATATTGATTTTGATTTATTAACAAATAGTTGATTTTAATAACATTATGTTTGAAACATTCAAATAAATGTAGTATGATTTGTATGCATATCAATGTTAAAGGTATCAACAACAAAAAACGCTTTTGATACTGGCACTATTTTGTTTGTAAAATAAAATGTCATAATCTCTTTTTTTTCTGTTCACATTAAACTTTTGCTTGATACAATTAAAAAATAGTTTATAATACCTAGCCTCTTTTATGAAGGGGTCAAGAAATGACAGGACTTCCATATATGGCCAGCGAACCGCTGTTTGTGCTGCCGATCCTGATTTTTTCTTGGAGGAAATTTCTCTTCTTTTTTTTACATACGTGTCTCGAATGGTTCGCCAACGTACTTTGACATCATCGGCTGTAAAATATGAATGAATTGATAAATGAAGAGATACAAAGACATGATGTAGGTCGTTCTTTATGTTTAGTGATGTCACTCTGAAGTAATAAACTTTATTGATTTCTTATATGTTATGCAACAGATAACTATGCAAATCTTTAATTGTAACATAGCAAACGAAGAAAATGTCTTGTATAATATGAACAATAATTGTACCAGCAAGAAACAAACATTAAATACCAGTTAAGTCTTGGATTTTCATCTCTTTTGCTACCGAAGACCATATGTTTTTTATCACTAGCGTGTCTTTATAGTCTGATAGAGATGCATCATAGAGTTCGGGATTCTCTCGCACTATTTCGATGAGCTTTTCTGTATTATTTTTCGAAATTAACATGGCATTTATCTTCGTTCGTGGCATCTTGTCCTGTCGGGATCTCTCCGGTGACTGTCCGCGTCCGTAAAAATTCGCTCATCCTGCGAAACGTCGCGGATGCCGTCGCGGAAGCGGATGGTAAACGGAAAAAAGGAATAGGTTCAACGTATTCTTTGATTAGCGAATCATTACCGGACGCGGATGACGGACGCGGACCACTGATCACGTATAAATGGAATAGCGGCCTAAAACCACCGACGTTCCGTAAGCTAGCAGCTGTATAGCTTCCTCACATGAAATAATCCAGTTCCTGTAGGGATTAAAACAAATACAATTTTCCAATCGATTTAAAAGGATTTTATCAGAAATTCGATGTTTAGTTGCAGGAAATCACGCTTAATTAAATTTCTACTATAACGGGGTCTTTTTAGACAGTGATTACGTCTAACAAAACTGTCAAATTTGACATTTTCATTAAAGTTTTACAAGAGTATTGCAGCAAGGTTTGATTGAGTCTGTACAAGAGGGATAATGAATAAGTGCAACATCCCTCACGCCTTCTAGCACCGGCTTGAGCGGTACTCAATTCTCAACACTTAATAGTGCTGGCATCAATGATCCCGAAGGACAAGAAAAATATAACAACACTGAAGTAAAGTACAGGGCAACTTGCCACACAGCACTTTACACCAGCTGTTGTGAAGTAAAAAAGTGTGGATTTAGACCGCTATTGGTCCCTTGTAAAAGTGGTCTTATTATCGAGTCGGACCAATGTTAGTTTTAACTATATGTGTCATCTACAGTAGGTGGCTATCATTAACCTTTGGAGTCTTTCTGTATAATTATAACACATTGAATATCAACACATCATTTTAATATTTTAACACATGTAACATCAATTTTATTCAATAAAAATGAATCAATATCTTTGCATAATGTTATTCTCTAGAAAGTTAATACATAGTGTGTTGTCGGTTTGGATTTTGAAAAAAAATGATACGGTTTCCTTTTCGATTGCATCCTGTGCAAAATCTAATGATGACATGACATTTGGCATCTGTTTACTAGAAAGAAAATAGTCTCAACTGATCTATGCACACAAGTGCCTCCTTGTATGTCATGACAGATTCACTTTCTTTTTCTTCTTCACTCTCAGCACTAGTATCAATTTGTTCATTTTGCTGTTTTTCTTGCATATTTTTAATTAAGTTATCTTCCAAGTCCGACTCCAGTTCTTCATGGACAGGAAGTTCAATGTCAATGTTTAGAAACCCTTGAACGGTCATGTCTTCTTGTACATATATCTTTTCTCTTGATGCCCTCTCATAAGGTCGGCCTATTCAAAAATATAAGCACAAACACATTTTACTTACTATCGCCTCCGTGTTCGAGGGGTTAAGAGTCGATGACTTCTAATCCAGTTACCTCTCTGGCGTGGGTTCGATCCCCCGAGAGATGCTTTGGTAGTTTAGCGCGGAGGAAGGAAGTCTAGTTCTGATGTCACTCTCCAGGAACGATGGTTAGGAAATTACCTGCTTATATGACTGAAATACTGTTGGAAAAAGGCGTAAAATGAAAGAAAGAAACAAAACAAAATCGTAACTTACACCTCCCTCAATGAATCCTGCTTTCCTAAAGCGCACAGCCTGAAGTGCATTAACACTTTTTGAGATCTCATCAGCACTTACATTTTCACCATCATCTATCCTAGCTAACACAGATCTTATCAAACGTTTTCTGTAGTGAGTCTTTCCTTGATGGTCTTGTTTATCATATTTCATGTTCTGTAAGATACCATGATCAAGCGGTTGAAGAACTGATGTAGTGTTCTTTTGTAGAAATTTAATCTTAACATTATTCAGGTTTAAATTCTCAGGGTGTGATGTAGCATTATGTAAGAAAAGAAACACATTGCGTTTCTGAGACTTCATTTTGTTATGGAAAGACTTAATCCAATCTTTGAAAATTTCACCAGTCATCCAAGCTTTACGATTCCACTTCCATGTTACTGGCAGATCATGAATGTTAACATGTTTAAAACATCTTGGCTTTTCATTTTTTCCAATGACAAGGGGCTTTTCAAAATCTCCCGTCATGTTAACGCACAACATTGCGGTCAATCGTTCCTTAGACATTTCCCCCCTTTAAAGTCCTGACCCTTCACACATAACGATTTATCTGGTAGTGCTCTATAATACAACCCAGTTTCGTCCATGTTGTAGATATCCTCTGATATCCTTAATCATGTCAATTAATTTCATTTTTTTCCAGTCCTCAACAGTTTTCTGACTTACATACCCACTTTCCCCACATACAGTTACAAATGAGATGTTGTGTCTATCTCTGAACCTATTTAACCATCCTTTGGAAGCTTCAAACTCACTGTCCGGAATTTTCAACTATTTAGCGTACAAGAGCGCTCGCTCCTGAACCATGGGGCCGCTGACACGAACACCATTCTGGACCATTCCCACACAGTGACGTTAAGCTCTTCAACCGGCGATCTCTTGCATAAGCGTTTTCTTTCGTTTGAAGCATTATTTTCCCATCCGTCTAAATATTCAGTTTTTCGTTTCAGAATTGTCTGAACCTTAATGCAAAATAAATAAAGACAATTTTAGTTTTCAGTGAACATAAATTCCATCTGTAACTGTTTATCATTTTTATCTATTTTGAAATTACAGGAAGATACATATCGTTTTTTCATTTCAGTTAATTTTAACAGTAAATTAAAGTGTTTATTTATAATTTGTTTATGATCAATATATCTTACTAAAATAAACATTTTGACATTAAATTATGCAATATTTTTCAAACTTATAAAGGATAAAAACACATAATTAAAAGCTTAGAAAAAATTCATGCCTCGAATTAAAAAATGTGTTTCTACCTGTGTTTTCCCTATGCCAAATTGATCAGCTAATTGCCTCTGACTTTTGCCGTTACTTTCATTAATCAATTTGATTTGTTGTCCTATATTCATTTTTTTTTCGTTTGCGTTTCTCCATTTTATTTCAAAACAAAAATTTATAATAGAATTTTTATTAAATCAGCAAAAAGTAAAGCATTTCTGATAATTCTATTTATAGTTAACGTAGACGTAATTACCTACCTATCCGAAGGTACGTGTAATTAACACATCGGCCGTCTTTCTGTGATCTTTTTTCTAATTGATCATGCAATTGGCGTAATCTCTTAAAAAAGGATTGAATTTTAAATCAATTTAAAAGATGAAAACTTACCCTGCGCTAGACCTATTTTTACAGTCACATCTTGTGTTATGCTTCACATCTGGTCCAGCGGAAATTTTTACCGATGCTCATTTTTGAGATACATATGGGGTTCCACCCCCGTGTTAAGCGCGTGGACGGTAGTTTGCACTTTAAGTACCGTCCATGAACAGGCTCAATCAAACCGAGCCTGCAACATTTTCAATTTTGTCGTTTTGGGCTTTCTTTACGGATTCCTATTTTCTCTATTTTAGAAATTTCTTGGTTAAACTTTTACATGCAACATCAATCTTCAAAACTACTGAACTTATTTACTTGAAATTTAATACAAATCTTCAAGATCATATTTATTGGCCACTATCCAAGGCTAGCAGGTGTGGTAGTCTTGGGCCCTGGTGTAGTTTTAAGTTTGTAACAACGGAAAGGGTTTGCCCAAAATCAGTTTTTCCACACTTAAAATGTTTGGGCACCCCTTTTGATATGTGGCCCCCGCTTTTTTAAAAGTGTACAAAAATTTCAATTTTGTCTTTTTTACGCTTTTTAAAGATTCATTTCTCTAAATTTTTTTGTTTTGGTGCCGTAAGCCAAAATTTGTGTTTTGTGCGCCGTAAATCCCAACAAAACGTTTTTGTACATATTAGATCATTACGAAGAGGATAAGACCGTCTTATCTTTTGATTTTTACTGTCAATAATACTGTCAGTATTACTAAAATTCATTCGATACTTTTTATTTGATTTTAGGCAGGCAGTCGCACAGCTTGATAAAATATGTTTCAAATTGATAAATGTAACAAGAGCTGACAGTTACATTGCAAACCATTAAATTGCTTATATCTGTACATAGATAAAAGTAATATTTGATCAATTTAGTGAAAATACTAGAATTCAAAACTGTCCTGTAGTATATTAACATTATCAATTAATCGTTAATTATTTTATGTGGAACATTGGATATTTGATAACGTATTTTATTGGACCTAAAATAATATCGTCTAAAAGTTTTGTTGTTTTAAAGTTAAATTGTAAATTGTTGTTATCAAGTCTTGTCTTGAGCTGTCATTTTGAGATATATATTAAATCTTTATGTCTGGAATACATGACTTGTTTGATAAATTTTCAAAATTCAACTGACAGTTACATTAAACACAGTAACCAGTATATATATCAGTCGCAGTTCAACGATAATATTAAAAATGTCTGTTGTCTAACTAAATATTCGTATTTTTAATGAAATGGTTATCTGGCTGTACATTCGTATCATATGTTGGCTAATTCTAATCTATGTTTTGAGTTACCTGTTTTAGAACCTCATAAAAGAGAAAAATACAAAAAAAAACTCCGTGAAAAAGCAGTGTAAAAGTTCAATCTGACTTTTACAAATTATCAAATAAGAATATTATTTCAAAGTGAATATCTACAAAAAATATCTTATGTCGCCAGTTGTATTCGAATACTGCTCATATTTAAAAGTATTTCGAATAATATGTCTGGTTGATACGTTAAAATATAAATGACCTGACAAGTAGACAGACTTTCTTCATATACATCAATCATTTTACTTCAAATGAGAAAATTTAAGTATCAGACTAGAAAATCAACACGCAATGGAACTAAAATAGCCTGTATTTTTTTCTATATTGACTTGCGAAAACATATTTGTAGAGTATGCACAGTCGACAAAATATAGATTTCAATGACGTATTTTTCTTTTCAAACTCGGTATCAAAATATTGACAGTTTAAAACTAAACTAAGACATTTTTTCTTCAAATGCTTGTTAAAAATTAGGTAACCGAGTATATAGTGTTTATGGAAATCCAACAAATCAAATAAGAAAATGGAAGACACGAAAAACGATAAAACATATTATTATATTTAACTTAATGAAAATAGTGTTTCTTGCCAGTGTAATAACTACCTTATATTTTGATCACTATATTATTGACACTATCTTAATGTATCAACTTGCAGGAAATAATGTAAATTTATAACCTATAAACTGTGTTTACTATATTGCATAATTATGACTGATATTCTGGACCTTCGTTTATAAAGAAAAGCTATACAGCTAACTTAGGAAGGTCAGTTGTTTCACACAGATGACCGCTCGCTCGTGCCCTGAATAAATCAGAAGGGACACCCGAGGACTGCCGCCATCAGCATGAAGCTGTTAAATCTCACTATGATCTTTACGGTGTTTGTGTGACATAGAATATGATATATTATATATGATCAACAAAGAGAGGCGGTGTTCAATGAACGCAACCTCCACACGACCCAGCAAGTAAGGATGAACCCAAACAAAAACAGGACAGGGCGCAAGGCAGAGCACGGACAGTCTTATCACTAAAATTATACATAGGATGAAATAATAGTAACCGACAAGGAAATCAAAGTCAAAGAAAACAAATAAATAATTGATTAATAGGCAAACGAAGTAAAAGGGCATTATGAAAGGGGATAAGAGACACAAAACCAAACAAAACTTATTAAAGGTTATTATTATGTCTGACGAGTTTTTATAGTTTTGACGACTGAATATATTCATAAGAATCATCTCGGCTAATGAAATAACTGCGTTGCACCTTGCTTAAGATTGCATCTGCTGTATTGTAAAAGAAAATTTATTTCATTTATTTTTGGGGAAAAAAATCATTGTTTTCCATTGCTCTACAAAAGAATTGTTTGACAAAAATAGAACGAGATCGTTATATTGTTTATACGCACCGTAAGAGTCTATAATTATATTCCTATAATTGCATGTCCTTACATAATACTTTCTTTACTAGCTTGAATGTATTTATTTTTGTTTATGTAAGTTCTAAGGATCGGTTTGAATGTGCAAACATATAGGACGCATACTGTTAATACATCAATATTAATATTTAAAAGGCGTCTGACTCCATTGAAAAGATATGGATAAGTGTGTGTAATAAAATCACACAATATAACCTCAGAGAAAGTAACTGTTTGTCTCTTAAAAATGAAATGAAACACTATTAAACCTTGTATTGAGTTTTAGACTTGAACTTCAGACTCGTCATTTCAGCAGTTTTTGTTACTTTGATAAATATATAAATGCAGATCACAGACAAGGTGTTAATTAGTTTTACCGTTATCGTTTACATAGTTATGATTAATTTTATAATACTGAAAGTTTGTAACGTCTTTTTTCATTTGATAATCATTGACGTTTATATAAAATATATACACAGCTGCAGTCGATTTATAAATGCAATAATTTCATTTTGTTTCTTATAAAGTAAGTTTGCGGTATTATAAATTGGTTTTAAAGTTTTTGACAGGTTATTAACAGTTTTTATGCAATTTAATCATCACCTTAAGGCTTGGGTCATATATGTGTCGTATGGTCCTTTTCACATGTAGGAAATGGCTGTTTATGCCTGTAAGGACATAAAACATACGCCTTGATAAATAAATAAACAAGATAACAATTTCTGGCGCAAACCAATAGAAATATTTATATCAAAGTGCATAAATACAGTTCCGAAATACATAAACTATCAATGGAAATATAACCGCCTCCGTGGTCGAGGGGTTAGAGTCGATGACTTCTAATCCAGTAACCTCTCTGGCGTGGGTTCGATCCCCGGGAGATGCTTTGGTAGTTTAGCACGGAGGAAGGTAGTCTAGTACTGGTTTAACTCTCCAGGAACGATGGTTAGGAAACTACCCGTCTATATGACTGAAATACTGTTGGAAAAAGGCGTAAAATGAAACAGACAAACAAACAAACAAATCAATGGACACAATGAGAGTATCTATAGTTTCGTCGATGCGAGAAAGGGCATAAGCATCCTTGATTGTACGGTTGTTCAGTTTCCGGTAATCGATACAAAAACGT